CCCAACTTCTAAACTTCGCGAGCACTGGCAGAGGAGCTAACGGATTTGGTTAGGTAAGGTTTAAATTGTTAGAAGTAACATTCTCCAACTCTATAAATTTATTTATTTTTTAATTTTATTTTTTCCTTGTATGATTCTCTTTCTATATTGTTGGTTTGCTTTTGGTTTCGGTTTTAGTGAGATTTATGCGTTTGTTTACAGGTTTGCATGGTAGAGAAGAATTATTGGTGATTATAGTTGCAATCGAAGTAGGGGTATTTTTATACTGTTAAATCGAAGTAGTTGTATGATTATAGTTGCGAATAGCAGTAGTAGGGGTATTTTTATACTTCTGAATCTCTCTCGATGCATGTCATCTTCTTGTACCTTTAATTTCATGCTATTAAATGAAATTTAAAAAAAAAAAAAAAAAAAAAAAATAGTTGCAATCGAAGTATCTATGTCTATTCATGCTAAGGATTTTGATCGAATTTTGTTTTCTTCAATGAACACCATAAAATTGATGTTAGAAAAAATGGATATCAAATTTTTTATGTTTTTTGTCATTTTATTTTATAAAAAATGTGAAAATTTATTGAAAATTCAAGATTTTACTATAACATTAGATTTTTGTATAACTAGGTGAATTTAAAACTTTTAAATATTATTGTGTTCTTTATTTTTATTCTCTTTTTATCTCATTAGACCATTACTGCTATTTATTAGTTTATTAATTATAATTCAATTAATTGAAAGTGAAAACTTAATATAACTTTTCATATATATTATAGTTAATTTGTTACTACTATAGTTGTATATAATAGTATAATTTATAGGGATAATTTCTAAATATAATTTTTATTTTTTTATGTGATTAAAATAGTCCATCTTAATTAGATGGTTTCTTTTTCTCTAAAAAATCCAATCTATTTTTTTTTTGACTTTTTTATTTTTTAAATTGAAATATCAATTATTTATATCCATAAAACAAAACTGATAAACACATATCAAAAAGCTATATGTAACGACCCTCACCTTACTCTTGCCATACTTGCATACATTCTTGCATGGTCTTGCTTGTTATGTTACCTTTTCCATTTTTTAATATGTAGCATATTTACAAATAGAAAATGTTTGAAATCCGAAATTTTTTTTCATATTTAATTTTCTCTAAAACTAGAATGAAGAATAAATAATGCAAAGGAGAAAAATAGGATAGCAAAATGTAATTTTCAGTCAATTTTCGAATTGAAAGAAATGCTGGAACAGATCTGGTATATATAGGACTGAACAGGTTTGATATTCAAACCGAACAGGTGTGGTTTTGAAATGAACAAGTACTGTTTGTGTAACAACCCTCACCTTACTCTTTTCATACTTGCATACATCCTTGCATGGTCTTGCTTTATTATGTTAATTGGAAGGATTGTTTGCCTTGCTTTGTTAGTATTACTTGCGTGATCTTGTCCCTTGTTCGGTGTGTGTGCGTAGCCGAGGTCATCTTGAGCTCAGTCCGCCTTTGACCCTTATACTTAGAACTATCTTGAGATCTTGTTCAACCCCATCTTCACCTCGGGCATTCATTGCCGAGATGTTTTGCACTTGAACCTTGTCCGCAGGCAGGTATGGCCTAGGCCGAGATGTGGCGCACCCCGGCTAAGGTGTGGCACAGCTTAGTCAAGTGTCGTCCTCCCTAGCTGATGTTTTGTTATCCTGTTGCTGAATCCTTGTTTTGAGCCGATGTCATCTCATTGCCGATGTGTCTTACCCGAGCTTGCTGCATACACTTTGTCAGAGACTTGTCTTGTCTATCAATCACCTTTTTGGAGCTGAACCAATCCGATAATGCCACGTGTCCGAGCTGATTGTTAAGACAGCCGGCAGACCTTGAAACAAATCATTTCTTGTCTCAAATCCTTGTTTTAGAGAGAGAAGCTCTAGAGAAGAGTTCTTGAGTGAGAGTAGTCTTCCAAGCTTGATCTTCGTGGCTTGAACCGTTGGATCCGAGTTTTGAGGTTAGAATCTTGATCTCCTTTGGTTATTCTTGTAGATTATCTAGCTGCATTGCATGATCGGATTTGTTTTGCATGTCATGCATTGTTTCGAAGTTGGTTTTGGAAAAAGAAAATGGTTTTCCATGTGTTCTTGAAGAAAGCCTCATTTTGATCGAAAAGTTTGGAACGAAAACCATGTTTTTGTGTTTGTTCTTGCATGACTTTCTTGAATGGGTACCCAGGTCCATATTTTGAACTCTTGGCATGAAAACTCAGATTTTTGTAACAAGTTGTGAGCTTGCATCCATCTTTCAAATGATCATGTTCTTCATATTCTTCAAAGGAAAACCCAGGTTTTTCCTGACTTTGTTTAGCGGGACCTCGGCATAGCCCTGGACGGTACCCAGTGTGTTTTCATGAAACGGGAGCAGTAATTAAGCTCCAGTTTGTTTTGCTTTGTCTTTGACTTGGAATCACTTCCAAGTCGCCTGATTCC